GTCTAATTATATTCCATAACCTTTAAAATATGAAAAACAAGATCAACAAGGAAAGGCGGCGTTCAATGAACGCAACCCCCATATGGCCCAGCAACAAGAACCAATGGCAAGGAGCCCAGGCGGACCCCAAACATAAAAAGGACAGGGCAACGACACGTGAATCATTAAATGATAAATAATTTGTAACTGATTAGGAATTCAAAGAAAATAATAATAGGCCCACAAAGGGGAAGGGGACAGGAGACCGTGGGAAGGTGGGGGGGGGGTTAATCAAAGAAATAAAAAACTAGAGGCAATGGGGAAGATACTTACCGTAGACGAGAAAAACAACAAGGGACACAAGCAAAAGTGTCACCAAACAGTATGAAACAACATAGACATACATCTGAGGAACACAGTGGGGCGCCGCCTTGGAACGGTCAGCAGCATAATAATGACTGCTGGGGAGTTTAAACCGGTTAATGGTGCACCAAACCTCGCTCTTAGCCCAACCATGTTCCTATAAACGAGACAGTGTAAATAAAATGAATCCCCGCCAAGTGAAATTCTAACAGTTTTCATGGTTACAAAAGGTTAAATAAGTAAAACACTAAAATGATCATGTAGAAACATATAAAAGTAAACCCAATGACCATAACAAAAGTACTCAATGTCCTAAAGGAAGACAGAGCAACAAGAAAATCACCTACAAGGGCCCGACGAAGCAAGGCAGAAGACGAACATTAAGACAATTCAGTCCCAGAGGGCTTTACGAACTATCCATCATAGAGTCTCCCACTTGGTCCGTCAGATGCAATCAAAAGAGGAAAGCGTAGTGTCCAACTGTAAAAGGGTTGAACACTAAACATGCAGTATGTCTTAAAATAGTAGGGTCATAACCTCTTTTAATAAAACGTTTAATAATTTTAGTAAAAACAGCAGAAAAAATTACCATGACCCAAAATCTTACGAAGTTTGTAAAACCACATCGCCATAAAACCAGGCTGGCTAATCCCTTGTCGCAGAAGAGTTTTTAAATCACTATTGAATTTAGAAATTAAATCAAAGTTACGATTGTAAAATTTAGTAAAATATTTTCGTAATTTATGATAGCGGTAGCCCTGTTTTAGAAGCTTACTGGTAATAAAAATATTCCGCTCGTTGAAATCCTTTACGTTGCTACAAGCTCTAGCGAATCTAATTAACTGAGAAACATAAACCCCGTAAGATGTTGCATGGGATACGTCTCCATCCAAATGTGGATAATTAACTATACAAAAGTCAAAGTCATCTCTTTTATCATAAATTTTCGTGTGAATAGAATTGTTGTTGATAGTAATATGAAGATCGAAAATGATGTACTAAAATTTCAAGAGTTCGTTTTATTAAGTTGTAGTTCATGCGGATAAATGTCAGACACTATTTGATTAAAATAAGGATTTTCTCAATTAAAAATATCATCAAGGTATCTGGAAGTATTATTAAATGCGACTATAACATCTTGTTGTTTCTCTTCAGAGAGACTCAACATAAAGTCTCTTTCATAGCAGTACAAAAACAAATCGGCGACCAGGGGTGCACAATTAGTACCCATAGGAATTCCTATGATCTGTTTAAATAGGGTATTACCAAACCTGACATAAATGTTGTCTAAAAGAAAAGAGAGTGCTCTACAAACTTCGTCACAGGTCCACATAGTATAATGTTTAACAATACCGTTAGTAAAAAAAGCTTTGTTCGAATTACATGCTAGAAAGGTAACTTTTTCCCGTGCAAAAGTTTTCTGAATTAGGGAAATTAGTTTAAGTTCATTATCTTCACAAATTGTTTTTTAGTTCAATTAATTACACAGAAAAAAATATTTTTGGGTTGATTAATTAGGGTTGATTAATATGTAATACAACACGAAATATATTTTATAATATAATTTAGCTCGTCATTCTTGTGTTTGTGTGATTTTAAAATCAGGGTATATGTAGCCAAGCGATTAAGAATTCTATTCACATATAAAAATACCTTACACTAGTAACTTCGATCAAACCGAGCCTGATACATTTTCAATTTTGTTCTTTTAGGCTTTCTTTAGGGATTCTTATTTTCTAAATTTCATGTAAAATACAGCTTATAAACGCTAACTTAAAAGCGCTGAAATACGGGCTTTCAGCAAGATAGGAAAATCTGTTTAAAAATGTTAATTTTAATTTTTGTTATATTTATGACAATATCTTATTCAACTGTTTTGAGTTTGATGCATAATTTCTAAAATGGCCACGAGTCAATTAAGAATGTATGTTAGTCTGGTAGAAAACGCTCGATAGTTACTTACAAAAAGCATTCAAGCTTATCATTGACAAAAACGACAGGCTTTATATCGCAGGAATATCAAAAGGGTTAACAGATACGATTCTGAAGAATTACATAAGCGAATATCTGCCACATGGATATCCAATTTTGGATGTTTCTAAATTTAACTGTCGCCGTTTGTCTAATATTGTGACAGGTTTCACTTTGTAACACCAGCCCAAAAAATGTAATAATAAGATTTTAGCCACCAAATATGTTCTTCGACCATGCATTATATGCCATACGCCTTGTCATCTCTCTTCCATGGCAGGCATACACTTTACCACAGATGAAAATATGTTAAGGGGTAATCAAACTTTAAATGGCAAATCATTATTTAGAGGGCAAATCCCGCCAATTAATTGAGGGGCTAGTCATTCCGTAAAGTGGCCCTCCTTTTTATACTTGTGATGGTTGATAAGAATAGAAGTTGGAAATCAAATACCTTGGTAAGGAAAGCATCTTACACACAACAACAGCTGCCAGTGTGCTAAAGCCGTCGTCACATACTGTTCCCCAAGTACCATTATTGAATACTTCTAATCTTCCTTCATAAGAACTTTTTCCGTCAACCAAACGAACAGGACCTGCAAAACATTCTACTGATGTCAAAACCAAATTTTGTCTATTTATATAAAATAATAAATATGAAATAATAAATAAAAGGCACGAAAATGATAATACTGAAATTGCTTTATGGTTTGTCCAAAATAAGCAAACATCAAGTTTTTCCAACTTGTAAATGTACATACGTGCAGCGGATGATGTTTTAAAGATTGATGGTAACTAGCAGTATAAATCAAAGTATTGCAGCTGATATTACATCAAAATATCAAAAACTAAAATGTTATTATAAAGTGGTGAGTTCTATTGTTACTTAGATAATCGAACACTTTTTTTACGCATGGAAACAGTGTTTTTGAGATATAAATGAGCGTATTTGTTTTTTCATTATATAGATCAAGAATATAATCTATAGACAGCAACAAATTTTTTGGACTGAACTATGAAATTTAACAAAACATTGACATGTTAAATTAATTGTCATGAAGGTAGAAAAAATGTAAACAGAGTTTTATTTTGACTTCTATACTAAAGAGTTAATCTCTGCAACTTCAGTAACTGACAAAAAGGCAACATTAGTAAATGTTGAGTGGCCAATAAAAATCTTGTCTTGGAAACTGTCTTGGAAACAAGGACAACAAAAAGAAAAAAGAGCTTTCGAGAAGAGAAAAAAATAATTGGATTTTTGAAGCTTTATTGTCCTTCCCCACCTTGAATAAATTGGGAAAAAGCGGGATGGAAAATTTTTAAAAGGTTTTTTTGCCCTTTAACATTGGGGAATGTTTTAAAAAATAGCGGGGAGGTCAAAATTTCCCCCTTTGTAGTCATTAAAAGAAGGGGGCCAAGGTTCCTTTTTTGAAAATCAGTTTAATAGTGTTTTTAATTATTAAATTTAAATTTGCCCGCCGGTAGTTGCAAAAGTAACCCCAGTTAAAAAAATTAAAATCATTTTCAAAATAGTAATATTTTTTTGACTGAAAATTTAATTTTACAAAAATTGTTTAATTTTTAAATGTAAAAAATTTTTCAACTAACTTTAATTAAACATTTTTTGGGGGAAAAAAAATCTTATATATGCTAAGAACTGAAATTTTTTAATATGCATGCAATCGTTTGTTTGTATCAAAGTTTATTGTATAAACTCTATGTTTATGCTAAGTCAGCACTTCATGCATAATGAACTTGCATAATGAAAAATACTCAATAATACTACATGTTAATTTCGACATTCGTAAGAGTTCCTTCATTGTCATCAAATAAGTTTTACAGATATTGATGAACTTTTCATAAAAGGTTTTTACATGCATTTTATGTTTATATAAAACTGTTTTTGTGGCAAAATAGGGTTAGTTCTTCATCTTGCAAGCAATTAAGTCATACTTAAGTTTAAATATGTGCAAAACAATAAAATAACAGATAAATAAATCTAAATTAGTAAATAGTAATAATGCATGCAAATAGATGTTCTTGTAAACGCATATTATTAAGTATTGATGTAAAAGTGTGTAACTAATATCTTAATTTTTTATCCATTTATATTTGAAGATGAAAGATTAGAAATGATAGATACCAAACGGTGATAGGTGATTCATGTTTGTATTACATAAGTCTTTGTCCGTCGCACTACCTATACATCCTAGGCCTGAATAGCATGTTCTTGTTCTTATTTTCATACCAATTCCATCATAGACCGAACATCGCCCCCATGATGACCATGACGACCAGTCTGTATTGAATTTAAAACAAAGCATTTACTGTCATCAACAGGAACTTACTGTACATACACAATACGTAACGAAGCAAGTACTTGAAAAAAGCATGAACAATATAAATGTTTCAAACTAAAATTAACTAAATTCTGACAACTCCATAGTACATGTATAAACTGTTTTGTACTGCATTTACGTACAGTTCAGGATCCACTTATTACCGATTTTATACTAGTTATGATATCTTTAAAGTTTATACTTGGACAGCCTTTCCTGTTACAAATGTCTTTGTCTTCAGAATTTCCAATACAGGCTCTTCCGTACCCAGACGGTGCAGGATTTGTACATGTCCTCGTCCGTTTCTTTGTCCCCCCGCCACCATGTTACAGTAAACATGATCCCCATTGTTGTCCATGAATGCTCCAGTGTCCGTTAATAGCTAAGATTAAACAGTATATTGTTTACTTGAAGATGACATATTTTGACTTAAATCTATACTTTTTTTTCTGTTTAATTATGTAATGTATCAATATAGCTTTTTATATATATAATTTCAATGAATATTATTATTTTTAAACTTTGTTACACATTGATAACTGTTTAAAAAGGCTTTCTGTACCAGTAAAGAAATATGTGTCATATACACGTATGTAAGGATTAAAAAGAACATTTAATAATGCCATGGAAAGATGATTTATATATAGATTACTAGAAAATGAGGGTTAACATCCCGTGAATAAAATGTAAAGGCATAATGTAATTTCTAAACTTAAAACCCAAAAAAAGATTAACACTGTATGCGGTGCCAAGTCCTGAATGTGACCAACCAATAGGGCTTATACAACCTTTCACTGAAGGTGATTTATAAATTTGGGTTTCCATCTGACAATTTATTTTGATAAATAAAAGACATGATACCTGGACAAGAAAATGAATTACAGGCTTTTGTCTCTTCCTCATTTCCAACACAGTCATGGACCAAATGGTGATGGTTGTCGGATTGTTACAAGCTCGTGTACGTTTAGAAATACCCACCTAGGCATGAGGCTGAAAAACGCTCCAAGTGGACCCTTGATGACCATACGCCATTCTTGTAAGAATATATTTTTAATATATTATAAACTCATCCATGAAAGTTTAAAGTTTTGATTAATTTCAATGAAATAGGTTTTAAGCAATTTATACGCTATGATAAGTTTTAAGGATTTTTTGTTGTAAAATTTTAAAAGATAAACTGTTTCTTCAGCATCAATCCCCATAAATCAAAGCCATCTTCCATTTAGCCCGTCATAAATGCTAAAATGGACAATTCACCATATTGGTAATTTACTTAATACTTTTTGAAACAGAGAATCGGCGAACTGTCAAATTAATGTAAAACGTGTTAGTCAATTTCTATAAAACAGCAAAAAATAAAATAACCACGTAAACACTGGGGTTGACGTTGCCGCAGAGAAATGGTATAAATATATTTTAAATTCTTTAACAACAACAACACAGACACTTCAAGAGTTGTTCTGTTTTCTGCGTAATAATGATCGCATTTTTCACGCCCAACACCGTATTCCATCATCAACACGTGGGGTTTTCAAAAAAAAAAAAGCAATCAAAATAACGAAAGTAAGCAATAGAAAACATGTTTTAGACCGCAGTTTATGTTTTCATATTTGTTCTAGCAACAATAACCTCGACAATGAAGTAAATATAAAATAACCTGCACATGGTCTTACAAAGCATGCACGGTCGTCACGTGCATCACCATAGCATGGCTCACCACCTGGTCCTGGATATGGATTAGAGGCAAGTCCTATCCCGTCTCTCTAAACCTATTCCACCAAGTTACGCTTTTTGCAACTCCCCCAAGATGACCACCTGCTCCAGCCACCATGCCTTATATTTGGAAAAAAGTTTTAAAACAGAATTTGAGCCTTTATGAGAATAAAATAGAAATCTACTTGTATTTTTTTGTCATTATCAATTTATCTTTATTACAAAGTACCAGTGAGAATAAAAATCGTAATGGGCCGCACAACAACCAAATTATTTAGTATTTTATGTTTCAAGATGTAAATATCCGTAAGCGTTTGCTAGCTAAAATGATGGAATAAATGCTAAAATTTCATTTAATAAGCAGCAAAAATTTTCAAATAGAAATGATCACTAAATGCATTGTTTCCATGCAACTAACTGAAAAGAAGGCATGCACATGGTTCTTCCTACTATAAACCACGCGTACAGAAAGTGTGTATATTGGTTGAATGTCTAACAATATCTTGAATTGTAGAGTGTAAAATATTTGATGGGAAAGGATTAATTGAACGATTTATCTATTGCAATATTATCAAGTGTTACCCTGGACATGCTTTAAAGATCACATGATCTGCTTTCAAGATGAAGGCCCAGCACAATGACAATCCTCCATACTGCGGGGCCGGATTGTCACAAAGCTCTTGATCGTTGAAGTTGTTACTGGACTCCACAAGTAACACTACATTTGATGACCAACTGCCCCATGGCGACCAATTACCAAACACTATAATTGATTAAATTTGGGGACTAATGCACCAATATATTTGAGTTCTTTGTAATAAGTCAAAGTTCTTTATCAAAATATGCTGACTGATACCACATGAAATGATTATTGTATATCAATTTACTGGATGAAAGCAAATTATGATTGAAAATAATATTCAGAACATACAATAGTTTAAATGTAAATTAGAAATCTTTATTTTACAGTTTTCATTATTGCACAGACATATACGCAATGTTAAAAAAGTTTTACAACATAAAAGTACAATGCCACTCCAGCATGGGGAGTTATTAAGAGATGAAAAAATCTTAATCACAATATTAGAATATAAATATATATTAATATTTATATAAATGCATAAATCATTCAGAACAAACGTTTAAGTGATAAAACTGAGAAACCATTGCTATACATAGACTAATTTAAAATGAAACATCGTGACTACCTGAAAGAAAGCAATTTAAGATAGTAAGCATACAAACATTTTAAAACTGAGAAATCGTATAAAAATAATAAAGTACGATTTTTTTATTTCAGGTTAAAAAAATCAAACTTGATTAGAATAGCTGATAAGAATAGTGCAGTATGTCATACAAATGTGAAAAGATGTTATTATTTACATAAATAAGAAGCTATTTCCATTATAAAAACCGGGGGCGTATCTTTGTCAAATATTAAAACAGGTTTTTGGCACAAATACGAATCAATTTATGTTTGAAACAGAAACACAGTATTTGTCATCATCAGACAGTGTCCAAAAACCTGTTACTTAAGAAACATGCTTTAGCCAACAGATTCCTGCCTTATATCATTGTAAAGAGAACAATTCAATGATAACATGTAATTCATTTTCTATAGTATCAGTATTTGCAATAAAGAACAGATCCTGGCTTTGCTATGGTAAGCCTTCATACTCCCCAAATTCAATCCTTATGGAAGCTACCCCCCATACGGAATTAACAGAAAGCAGTTCTATGACTTGGGTGGTAATACAAGTTTACAGTATTTTTCTACTTTATACTCATTTTTAATTTACTATACACTCGTATTTATTACGTCCACGATCAGAGGGCCCAACAGCATTGTTGATTATGTTATAGCAATACAATAATTTAATGTGTTTTCATTTCAAAATTATTGGCTAAAGAACGAGGTATAGGACTGAAAAACTGGTGTACAAATGTAAATCATTGACATCATAATAACTTTTAACATGAAAATACCAATTTTCTACATGAGCGACTAGCTTTTTTAAGACCAGAGTGCCAAACGTTTATTAATTCTTGCCGAACTCATACATGATAGCTTAGACCAGTTTAAAGAAATAGATTTCCATAATGGAGCGCTGTAATTAATAACTGGCCAAACGACGGCGTCGTTTAATTTTGTAAAGACATCGTATTGTACATCACCAATGGCTTTGCATTTAGCAATAAACAATAATCCTAAAGCACGACTGGCACTCTGGGTAACATATTTTAATACACTTGTTACTATATATAGTAACAAAATTGCCTATGATTTCAACTGATTATGAGTGTCACGTGACCTATTATGAGTTTGCGGCCCGGGGCCGAGAACTAGTTATCAGCCCGCAGAACATGTGCACGTGGACAAACTGAAACAATGACGTCATATTTTACGTCATCAAAAAGTGAAAGAAGGTTGTCAGCACGAATCGCTTTATTTTTATTATGAGAGCTTAAGCGTATTTAGTACAAACACATTTTTGTTACTATTGAAATTTGAAGAAATAGATCTAATACGACAAATTCATTCCGAAAAAATAAAACTTGCTTCTAGTAGATTCTACTGCTTTGAACACACAAGCAGTAAACATATAAATTTTGTAGTCTGTACAGAACAGTAGAAGAGTAGACAAGAATTTCAACGAAAGAACTTTGTTGTTGTTGTTGTTTTTTTTTTTTTTCTTAAATTCTACTATTAGATCTACCAAGTGTATTAAAGACTTTAATACACGTCAGAGTAGGGCCGGAAGGTGATAATTTTTAAACGAAAGAACTTTTTTTGTTTTTTTTTGCTAAAGCCCTCGGGTCCATTATTCATTTTGCGGGCCGATTATCACCTTCAGGCCCTCTCCTGCCGTGTATTAACCTCTTATTAATTTGTTTATCGTAAAAATCACGTTAAAATATATACAAGGTCGTGCAATACCATTTTTACGGAGTCGCAAAACCGGCACGGGTAGGTGACAAATTGGTTTGAGATCTACACTAATGATTTACTTAAAAATCAAACAAATCTCTGCTGCCACAAAACCCTACTGTTATCCTAAATAAAAAAGAAAATAATGAATGATTAGGCATATACTAACTTTTGGCAAGTGATGTAAATGAGTTGCTAGAAATTGCAGATTTATTTATTTTAGTAACATCTGGGTGTCTTTTTGGTAATGGTAAGAGGAGATATGTCGGCGTATCACTAGTACATTTCAATTGGAAAATACATTAAAACATTTGAAAAATATATAACTGTTTCAATGAAAAGAGTTTTAAACTGTTAATGTCTTTGTTTTGTTTGATTTTCTTACGCAAATATTAACACATGTTTTGTTAATATCTCGGCGGCCGATCCACCTGAATATCTTTCATTGATAACAAACCAGGATAACTACCATGACTCATCAAGTGACTGATATTTTATCCTTCATAATTTTTGAAACAGCATTGACAGACAAATGATCAGTACACTGTTTAGGTCAAGGAATATCAAAAGAACGACCCTCGATTACTAAGCTGATGCTTTTGAAATACGTGGACAGAAAAAAAACTATATGCCATACTGGTTTGACATTTGTCTCCTCCGACCAGTTTTTCAGAATTGCAAAATAAAATCTGTCATTCATTTTTTCACAATTCTAACCACTGAATCTTTTACCTGTGTGGACAATTCTGTTTGCATAGAATTATAGTTCTTCAAAGCTGTTTCATTAATATATTTATTTATTTATCTATTTATTTATTTATTTAATTATTAACATTTAATACACTTGTTACTATATATAGTAACAAAATTGCCTATGATTTCAACTGATTATGAGTGTCACGTGACCTATTATGAGTTTGCGGCCCGGGGCCGAGAACTAGTTATCAGCCCGCAGAACATGTGCACGTGCACAAACTGAAACAATGACGTCACATTTAACGTCATCAAACAGTTAACTGTAAAAGTGAAAGTAGGTTGTCAGCACGAATCGCTTTATTTCTATTATGAGACCTTAAGCGTATTTAGTACAAACACATTTTTGTTACTATTGAAATTTGAAGAAATAATACGACAAATTCATTCCGAAAAAAAAATGAAAATAAAACTTGCTTCTTGGTTCTACTGCTTTGAACACACAAACAGAAAACATCTCTGTACAGAACAGTAGAAGAGTAGACAAGAATTTCAACGAAAGAACTTCAAAGTCTATAATTTGTTTTGATTATGTTTTTGTCATTTTTTTGTTTGTTTTTTTAAATGCTACTATTAGATCTACCAAGTGTATTAAAGACATTAATACACGTCAGCGTAGGGCCGGAAGGTGATAATCGGCCCTGAATGAATAATGGCCCTCGGGCTAAAGCCCTCGGGTCCATTATTCATTTTGCGGGCCGATTATCACCTTCCGGCCCTCTCCTGCCGTGTATTAACCTCTTATTACAGTAATATCATTATCCAAAAGTTCATTAAGTACAACGCCTAAGTAAGAATATCTATCAACAATACAAATCTGATTCGTTCCGCAAGTAAACATAAACTGGGTACATAATTCAGATTTAGGTCGGAAGTGTTCAACATTACTTTAATTGGCAATAACATTCATATCATTAAGCAAACACCAGCAATTTAATAACACTTGCAGATCCTCTGCTGATTCGGACAGTATATAACAATATCATCGTCGTATAGCATAATACAAACATTATCGGTTCCAATGTCTATACTTTTACCAAATGATTTAAGATAAATGATAACACGTTAATGAATAAATTAAACAAAAGAGGTGAAAGGATACATCCCTGACGTAGGCCACAATTTACATCAAACCAGACTGTCTTATGACTGTTAACCCTAACACATGACTTTACCGATACATACAATGATTTTACAGCTCCATACATTTTACCACTTATGCCTATATCAGATAAGCGCTTCCATAAAATACTTCTATCTATAGTATCATATGCCTTTTTGAAATCTATGAATGCACAAAAAGTGGATTTACGTAACTTTTTCCTAGTTTCAATTAAATAAGTTAAGCAAAGTACTTGGTCTGTAGTACACCGACCTTTTCTTAAATCATTCTGTTCGTCAGAGACCTCATCATTGTTCTCGGACCAAGCATTTAACCTAATATTTAAAATAGAACAATAAATTCTATACATAGAAGGGGCTAGGGCAATACCTCTGTAAGACAAGGGGTCTCTGCGATCCAATGTGGATGATTTAGGAATGGGGTTGATTATGCACTTACCCCAATGCGACGGACAATGCTATTATCAAAACATATATAAAATAAAATATGTAAAAAGAGATCTTTGCATCATTATTAAGTACTTCAAAAGGAATATTGTCTATACCACTAGACTAGTCTTACCTTTATGAAGAGAGTTAATAGCTTTTTCGAACTTCTAACAAAGATATATGAGTATTAAAGCTGAAGTTGTCATCACAACTATCATTATCATTTGATGTTTCCGTAACATTATTTGTAGTTTTGAACAGAGAGCTTAAATCATTTTCCCATTTTGATAAAACAATATCTATATCACCTGAGATTGATCCATCTTCTAAAATAACTTCAATTGGAATATCATTATCTTTTTTTACAATTCACTCCAATTTTGCCAATAGATTTCCAAAGCTCTGATGTATTAACAGCGCACTCATCTTATAGCTGAGATTGTAACGAGTACCAATGGAAACGCTTAGCTCTCTGAACTTCGCGATCAAATAATTTACGAGTACTTACATAATAAGACTTTAATGTAGAACAATTTGCTTTGTTTTTACGTTAAAGCCATGCTTTCTCAGACATACAAACGTTATTCCCAAAATCAGGTCAGTCCACCACGGCTTTCCGAGGCACCGTCTTTTATTACAATTACCATATTTAATCTCCCTAAATGGTAATTTATCGTGCATGTTCTGTTAAACAATGCCACACCGATCATTATATACCTCATCATTATCAGATTGTGTACAAAAAACTACTTTCAAGTTTAGAAATTGCTAAGTTAACATCAGATAAAGTCTCTTGATTCATCATAAAGTCAGCTGGAACATTAGTAACATCATATATATAATTGCTTATATCCTGCGGTTTACTCTCGCAAAATAAATGTTGAATACATATATTATCAAGTATAATATCCCGCATAAGAAGCGAAATATCTCGAAGAGCAATAGATACTATGGAAGTCACAAGTAGTTTAATTATAAGATCTGTAACTCTTAAAACATTGAATTTCTCAAATTTATCAAAATCATCAAAACAATACTCCACTACTGATCTACCTTTATAAGAAATAGAGGTAAAATCGTTGTGCACATTGCCACGACCATTTAACATGCACATATTTACATTAATTAAGAAATCTATTAATAAGTCACCATAACTCTTAAGACTAAAATCAATTACTTCACGGTCAATTACATTGTCAATTCCTCTAATAAAATCATCAGTATCCCCGTATCTGCTATTAAAATTCCCGCAAATTAAAATAGTTCCATAATCTTATACTGATATACTATATAGAGTAAAGAATCATAAAATTTAGGTACATCAAATAATCTAGAAGGGTTTTCCGGTGGAAGATAACAAACACATGGTAAAATTGTAATATTATCTGATTTATGACACAATTAAAGAAGTAAAATGCCTTCGTAAACTGTTCAAGTAAAATGTTCCTAATGAAAAAACCGACCCCACCAGAACCGGTCTTGGCATTTTTGTGTATTATGGCCCTGTTGTGGCCATACCATGTGTAACCCTCTAGATGAAGTACTTCGTTGGCAAGAAGATGGCTTTCGGCGATGCCTAAAATGTCTAGGTCATTTGTTAAAACACAAGAAGATCTTAAAATATAATTGTCAGAATTCTTATCTGTTTTCCACCCTGTAACGTTCCAAAACCCGGCATGAATCTACCTACGGCCACGGCTGTTACTACAGGATTAACCACGATAAAGAGACCCCCTCGCGGTACTTCGGTTACCAACTACGTTCCACTGACTCTTTGAAGGAACTTCACCGCGGCGTCCCTCACCATGACCCATTTACTCTTTCAGCAGTACTCTCACTATTGCTCTCGGCCATATTGCGAATAACAATGTTCAGAGATCGATCATGAGTTTCGCGTACTTCAGGGACAGTAGAAGTAGCAGATTGTATTGATTCAATCTGGAAGCTCAGAACAGCGAGGTCAGTCGTAAGTTCATTCTTAATAGATTGCTTAACCGATTCAAATTTGAATATCTACCGTAGTGCTAACTTCACGCTTAATCTTGCTAAGTTCATTACTCATCCGCTTATCAAAGAGCTGAGTTTCTTAAAATGCAATTATATTTTTTAAATTAGAATTCAGTTCATCAAACCGCTCATTCAAAGACATGTACATCATGTTCACGTCCGCAGATAACTTGTCAAACATTTGCTGGAGTGTAGGCGAGGCACTAACGTGAACGTTCGCTTGTGACGCAACAATCCTTCGCTGTGCAGGCTCCGGGGGAGTAGTTTTGTAAAGATTTCTTTTAGCTCTTTAAGGTGACAACAGACACTTTCCGAGGTAATCACATAAATGTCATTTAAACCAACTTATTTTAGTAATAATTGTTATTTATTTAATCTTTGTGCATTAAATGTCGTTGATCATCATAAAAAATAACATATTTGAAAAAAATGCCTTTGTAAATGATTGATTTTTAATAAAAATCCTAAAATTTTAAATCGTCATATCAAAGTCATTTTTTATTTTTTTGTCATCAAACTTTCGAAAAATAAACATACTTATAATATCTGGGGAACCGTGTCTCAAATTTTTTCTATCTTTTCTCAAAAAAATATTACGTAACGTCAAACATTTTATGCGACTTTTTTCACCATACATATTACGTAATTAAAGATAATTAAGTCGCTGATTGAGCAAACAAAATCCCTGACACGGTTTCCCTCCGTAAATGAATTTTCCCTTTCATGTGCTTTAAACCGCATGTTAATTTGCTTGATTATTAAAAAAGTTATACCGATTCAAAGTTAGTCCGACCCGCATCAAACGAAGTGTCATAAATCGGCTGTTCTCTCTCGGACCCCTACGTTTTCACGCTAAATAATTGCATAATACACAAATATCGCATCAGAGAGGGTCACAAGTTGCGGTAACATACTCTAACAACATTTTATGACCCAGTGACATCTGACCAATTAAAAAGTTGCTGATTAATATCAGTTTATATAACAGAAATTTCTTTCAAATCTTAACGTGATTTACCGTCAGTCTGGTATCGGTCGCACATGTCACGTGACTTTCCGTAAAATTTGAGGCACTCGGTGGGGGGAAATGGGACGTATTTGTGCACCGCTAGCGGGGTATTTAATTGTTTCACATTTGAAGTTTATTATTATTATCATCAGCATTATTATTATATTATACCAGTGTCACTCTATCTGTGTACTCGTGTGTATGAATTTCCGTTCAAATATAAATTAAAATTACAAAAAAACTGAGCTTCTGACAGTCTTTTAAAGTCCACGGTAGATGTACAAATAAGAACGGGATATTATATATTTTTTCCTCCAAATTGATATAAATGCTTCACATATTTTAATAGAAATAAAAGGTATCACTCGATCATTATGATCTGACCTTCTTGACTTTTATTATCATGAAAATCATCTATGCACGGCATAGAGATCCAGTTTCTACTGGGATATACAATAAATTCCAAACTTTCTCCCAGGTTTATTAGTATTGTGTTCGATTTACTAGCGAACAATTTATTCAAAGCATTCACTGATAATTTATTTTATTATCTTTTTTTATTGATTCATAGAGAAATAATCATCCTTAGACAACCTAAAATGGTTTAGAAATTTGTCAGGGACACCTTACCACAAGGCGTTCACATAAAAAATGTTGTCTGTTTTTGTTGTTGTTTTACTTGACATTGTTAGAAAACGAGGTTGAATGTAAAGCAAGCCCTTGAATCCGTACAAAAGTCCATAAACTCAATGTAATATCTATCAGATTAACGGGACAGACAAATTATTTTCACACATTATGGATATTTTAGCAACTTTATTTTTAATCAACCCCGTGGTCGTGCGATTTGTCGCTATGATGAATTATTTATGTTTCATACATTATGTTACGTACATTGGCCGACAATTTCTTATTTTATAAAAAAAGGCTAAATAAAAGGTAGACGATATTCATAAAAGATGTACGGTATTTGTACGATACATGAATTACGAGTAGTATGGACCAGTATGGACCTGTAATTCACGCATATATGGAACTACCGATTTCCCTCATTGATGCCTCAACAGGGGGCGGAGCGTTATCGATAATTGACAGGTTACGCGATAGCAGATAAAAATGGTACAGGTACCGTTTTAAAACGTTTAAAAACACATTTTTTTGGAATAACTGCTTCCAAAATTAATCACGAATGTGTTCAGAAAAGGTTGATAAATATACTAAGCAAAAAAACTCATTTTAGGTATTTTCAGTGATAATTGACTCCGTTGTCACCTTAAGGAGTGCGTTCAGATACAAAGTCTGTTGAAATATCATTTCTTGCTTTCATTGAAGTAGTGTCACAAGTACCGAACGTTTTCGACTACTCTCACAAGGGGTACCCAATTTTGATACCAATTGTGATAACATTATTGAGTCCACATAGTCTGCAGCCTCTGAAACCACTGCACAAGATGGCGATTTCCAATCCATTTCAACCGCACTTGGTGAGCCAAAATTTCAAGAAAATCGCCTGTAAAAGGCACGTCAGTAGACTGTAACACACTAGTCACTATTTATGTACTATATATGCAATGTAATACCGATAGTACAATTGACCATCAATGCTGCCAAATTACGCGTGACGAAATTTTGTCGATATTCCTTCTTCACTCCGGTAAATATCAATGGTCAAGAATTAAAGTTAACAGTGTTACTATAAATTGTATCAGGTCAATATACACCAAGATAAATTTTCATCATATACATAAAAACGAATTGGAACCGCAAATGCAATTTACTAAGTCACTAAATCAAAAAAATACCACTGCCTAAATCGATAAACTATCACACAAATTAACTCCAATACAAATTAACACCAAACTTGAAAGTTTTATACACATATCTCAATTGTCAACACCGTCCGAAATTGACCGGAAGTATCTATAAGTATGTTGTACTTATGAGCTTGAAACTGCAAAATATTGTTACATTATATTACTTACCTGTTATACAAAGACCACAGAATTTTCGACATACAAGAATTGCGTGATGAACATCTGTGCATACGCTGAAAACTGAACTCATTAGTGAACAATTGTAATTTGGATCATCTTCGCACCCGATACTATTCACGACTGAAAATACAAACATTTCAATCTACAAATGTATTGTTTTCAGAATAATCAGTTATCAATTTTGCATCATAATATTATACTCAGGCACAATGAGAACTTTACACACTAAACATCTTAATTATACGAAAATAGATAATCTTACATAAACTTACACTACACTGGCTGATTTGCCAAACGATAATTCTTTTAATCGAGACTGAGTAAGATTAATCACAGGGAATTGCTTATTATTGATCAAAGCCAAGAAAAAACGATTTGTTGGGTAATTTAGACGATTTTCAGCAATGCCACGGCTTTTTGAAAATCTGAGAAATCAGGCGATTGGCATGGTGCATTTCGGTACATTGGTAATTAACGTTTCACATCACTTTGGGTACTCTCGACAGACCATCCATACTGTAAATTTACAAATCGCTATGCAAATACTGGCTCCATCAATCATCGCTCAATGCCAGCTAGAGAACGTGCGACGTCTCGTAGAGACGACCGCTCCATAAAGTTAGCTCATTTACGTGATCGTTTTACTCTAGCAACCGTAACTGCCCGACGTCTAGGAATTTCTGCAGAGACCATCCGACGCCGTTTAATGCGGTATAACTGTCCTCTCTAAGCCAGGAGACCTTACACTGGGCAAACTATAATAGCAAATCACAGGGCCGCCAGGTTGGAATGGTTAAGGCATCATCAGCACTGGAGGCGAAACCATTGGAATAATTTTATTTTTTCGGACAAATCACGTTTCAGAGTCACCTGTGCTTATGGTAGAGTTAGGATTTACCGTCGCAGAAACGAGAGATTTGCCCAATTTTGTATCAGGGAGAGAGAAGGTTTGGTAGTGGCGGTGTCATGGTCTGCCATGGTATAATGGGAAACGAAAGAACAGCACTATTAATTATTCATGGGAATCTGAATGCACAGTGTTATATTGATGTTCTGTGCAATAATCTTTTCCCATTCATGCAGAATCATGGCCCATACATTTTGCTGGAGCATGACAATGCTAGGCCTTATACTGCCCGAATAACCAAATAGTTATTTGTAAAAAACACCGTCACCGTCCTGCCCTGGCCTGCAATCTCTCGAGATCTGAACCCTATCGAGCACATCTGGGATGAACTTGGACGTAGGGTAAGGACAAACCACTAAGTAAACAACGTCAACAACCTTAGAAGGCTTTGCTGGTTGAGTAGCATGACTTCATTAGACGTTACGTTCAATCCACGAGGAGAAGAATTTTGGCTTGCATAAACAGAAATGGTGGACATACATGTTATTGACAAATTTTAGTCAACATTTATCTGTTATTTTGGTATTAAGCGAGTGATATCGAATTTAATCAAATAAAACATTTTAATTTGATTTTTGAAATTGACTTGTTCGTATTTTGACTTGTCACTAAATTATCAGTTTATTAGGAATTAATGAAATTAAAAACTTGTAGAAATATGTTTAACATAAATAATGATATCATTATTATCATTTTGTAATTTATATTTTAAAAGTTATATAGGCTCAAAATCCGTGTGGCATATTACAATATCAATTCGCTTTCAGCAGGTTTAGAAATTTGAACAAGGTTGTTTTGTTTAAACGAGAATTTTTACATAAATTTATTTCAATCTATGAATATTTTATTTTTCATAATTATAATTGTGTCTACTACATGTATAAACCTTAAGTTGTATCATGCTGATAGGTCAATGTAAGTGCTCCAACCTATCATAATAATAACAACATCAAACTATCTTTATCATTTAATATAGACAATCAGTTCCTAAAAGCAAAAAGTTTCTTGAAAATATGAACTTGAATATACGAGATGTTATATTTTTGATCCTTAAAGATCGTTCAGCTCGACATTATTGTTGTGCTTTTGGTAATTTAGTTCTTTCTATTCGGCTATTTTCTTGTTGGGTGGTTCCAATATTCTTCATTTGAATACTGATGAATCACCCTTAGGATATGTGGATTTGTCTTTAGACGTATTATCTGTGATCTTCAACACCTCTGATCCCCTTTCAAAACAAAATTCCATTTTATTTAGTTCTGCCCATTGTTTTCTAGTTTTGGGCACACGCTTTGTTTACTTGGGGACCATATGCCGTTTTTTATGAAATGGCACTTAAGTGTCACATTTAAAGGTTCCATGATAACCGCCATATGAACACATCTGCGGATGTTTCAAAATTCCAAATTGTATCAGTTCATTTTAAATGTTGAATTCTGCTTAAGCCGGTGCTAAAGGGCGTGGAAGGTTATTTGCACTTGACAGTACCGTCCATGAACAGGCTCAATCAAACCGAGTCTGCAACATTTTCAATTTTGCCGTGTTGGGCTTTCTTTAGAAATTCTTATTTTCTCTATTTTATTCATATCATGCTAACGTTAACCTTTGTATCTAAATAGCAGGATATATTAAACGATATAAATTAGTTTTTTACCATGAGTGCCAGTCGTACATAGATACTTATTGCAGGAATCAACAGCACAACATTGGCTACAATCTAGATTATTTGGCAATGATCTGCCAATTATAGACAGTGATGATGCCGTTGTCGTCGCAGAGAGACAAACCTACAAATATCATTAATATTTGAATTAGGAATATATTTCTAAAGATTGACTATTATAATGGTGATTGAACGATAATTGATAATGAAAAAATATACATGATGATATATTAAAACAACTCCATTTATAACGTCTGTCCCACGTTTTTTTAGAGAACTGAACGCTACTAATATATTCTGAACAATATGTATAGAAATAGAAGTCAGTCATATGGATTATTGATTATTTTTTCATTGTAATATATAAAATTGAACAAAATTTGGGAAAGCATCCAGTTATTTTGAATTTAACCTGTTCACTGATCATTTACACTCCAATGGGCATAATGTCACTTTAAGAAAATTAACGACGTCAAATAAGATGAAACAAAATGAAGAGAATTATTAAAGCCAACTAATTAAACTACAAGAATAAAATTGAACCTGTTTTGAGCGACAACCCAGAGTGAATCTCGTTTGATCCCCAATTCCAGAAGTGTCAGTGTAACAATACTGAAATATAGTACTGGTACAATTTTTATTACAGTTTCATACCTGCTCAGTTCTGATTCTTCAAGATGTTTTGTTGTATTGTGTTTAAATACTTTTTTAACTTTGTTGTTATGTAATGCATTTTATGTTTTTTTTTTTGTTTTTTGTTTGTTTTTTAATTTCTATGATCTGAAGTTTTCCAAGAACTGCGTATCAGTCTTCTGAAGAATTTAGGTATCAGATGCATGGACAATGTTTCAATAGTAATGTAATCTTAAACTTTGATTTATTAATGTTATTCTTCACACAAACACAGAAATGTTAACAAACTTGTTATAAATATATTTAGAATTTAAGTTAAATATTTGTATCACTTTAATATATAGAAGTTAATAGTTTTACCTCTGTCATCTTTATGTCACTTTAAAAGTGGTTAAAAAGAGCCAAAGATTTATATTGAATGACATATGAAAAGCATGAAAGCATATCTTAGTTTTTCTTCTTTCTGTTGTTGTAAAAAATTGTCTATTTACATCTTTTTAAAATCTGGTAAAAACTGGCAATGTGTCTAGTTGGTGGTTGTGTGTTTTGTCAGCGCCGACTTGAACCCCTCCAAGGTTGGTTTCTCAACAATTTGTATGGGTAGGCGATTCCAGAGGATGATGGTGGCCGGAAAGAAGCTGTTCTGGTACACAGATTTCTTACAAGTGAGCTGGCTGAGTTGTTGTTGGTTGCCTCTTGATGTTCTTGCATTACGTAGTGGGGGATCTGGTGTGACGTCTACAAGGTCATGCTTGATCTTGTAGAGCATGGTGACTCTTGCCATGTCTCTTCTCTTCTGTAGAGTGGTCCAGTGTAGTGAATTTACCATCTCTGTGACACTGCTCTGGCGTGAGTAGTCGTTCTTGACAAACCGTGCTGCTCTTCTTTGTACCATCTCTAGTTGGTTGATGTGGCTGTCAGCAGCAGGTGACCATACAGAGGAGGCATACTCAACGCTTGGCCGTACGTAGGTGTTGTAGGCTTTGGCTTTGGCATCTGGTGGGCTTGACCGGATGTTTCGGCGCAGGAAAGCTAGGGTTGAGTTGGCTTTTTTCGTTATATTGTCGATGTGGCATTTCCAAGATAGGTCTGGTGTGATGGTGACTCCAAGATACTTGGCCTGGTTGGTTACGTTGAGGGTTGTCTGGTGTATTGTGTATGGGAAGATAATGGGGTTCCTCTTGGTGGTAATTCGGATGACCTCACATTTGGCAGCATTGAACTCCATTTGCCATTCCTTCTCCCAGACTTGGAGACTGTCAAGGTCGTCTTGTAGGGCACGGGCATCCTCCTGGCTCTTGATCGTCCTATCGAGGAGACAGTCATCAGCAAACATGCCAGTCCTCGACTTTACCCTAGAGGGTAGGTCGTTGATGAAAGCAAGGAAGAGCAGAGGACCTAAGACGCTGCCCTGGGGCACTCCGGATGTGACAGGGGATGTGTGGGAGTGTGAGCCTTCCAGGACCACGCGCTGCGTTCTGCCAAAGAGGAATCCTTGGACCCATTTTAATGTGTTGCCTCTGACCCCATAATTGTCTAGTTTCATCAGCAGTCGTGTGTGTGAGACCTTGTCGAATGCTTTGCTGAAATCGAGCAGGATAGCATCTATTTGTTCATTTTTGTCAAGTCCTTTGACAAGGTTGTTCACAGTGGTGAGTAGCTGTGATTCACAGGAGCGACGGCGTCGGAAGCCATGCTGGGAGTCAGACAGTATGTTGTTGTTGTCGAAATGAGCCATGATGTTGCTAAAGATGATATGTTCCAGGATCTTACAGGAGATTGATGTGAGAGAGATAGGTCTGTAGTTGGATGGTGTAGATCTGTTTCCTTTCTTGAAGATTGGGGAGACATCAGCTGTTTTCCAGTCAGCTGGGAGTGTACCACTGTCTAGAGAAAGCTGGTAGATTCTGGTCATGCCTGGGGCAAGTTCCTTGGCACAGAGTTTGAGGAGTCTGGTGGGAACTTTATCTGGGCCTGCAGCTTTGTGTGGTTTAAGTCCAAGGAGAAGCTTGAGGACACCCTTATCTGTCACAGTAATGTGGCTCATATCTGAGATATGGCGTTTTGGTAGGATCAGAAAACCCGACAGATTTTGACATTTATTTATGGGTCATTGCAACGTATTTTTAACATTTGTGCAAGATATGAAGGAGGTTAACCAGAATTTTGAACAGTTATCAATTAAATTTGTAGAGCTACACTATATTCACTAATTCCAATCGAAATGTACATATAACACTTAATTAAATTTAAAAAAAACACACAAATGAATGAAGAAAACCATAATCTGATGAGATGAAAAGGAGAAGAAAATGCAAGAAAAAGTTTCTTCCTAATTGTATTTGCGCACGCGACTAATGTAAATTCATTTGTTTCTTCACTGAAAGACAAGAGGTAAGATACCTTAGGCGTATAATACCTTAAATACATGACCAACGCGTAGAGTAACTCAGTCGTGTAAAACTTTCTCATCCGTACAGAAAGCTGAACATTTTTAGATATTTAATTTTACAAGAATTTGATATTGAGAATGAAATGATGAAATTAATGAATGAATTAACTTATACGCTATGTGTCATAATGTTCAAAAAATGTATACAGTTAAACTTACGTCATCGGACGAGCAAGTTGTCAACTGTTGACAATCTGATATGTTTTTCACGCTTGCACAGTTATAGCAGTCTATGGAATCTGTGTAATATACCAAAATGGTGGTGAAATGTACATAGTGAAATGTGAATTTTAAAAAAAAATACAGGTGTATTAAAAATACAAATATACGATAAAGCTGACAAAGTTATAAAGGCTCGTAATATGAAAACTTACATGCTGTTTTAAAGCTCAAAACCACTAACATCAAAAGCAACATCATGTTGGTCTGAAAATGGTATAAATATCATTTCGTTAGTTTAGAATGGTATTACTCATTTTAATCAGCATAAAGCAAATCTTTTTTTATTGGAATTTACAGAACGTGAAGGTATTGGCATATTTGTTTAGGGAATTCCCCCCCATTCTTACTAAGTATTTGTTGTCAATATTCAATCCTCTTTTTTTATCCCCCGCCGAAAAGGCGGCGGGGGATATAGAAATAGTCTCCGTCCGTCCGTCCGACCTTCCGTCCTTCCGTCCGACATTTTTGTCCGGAGCATATCTCTAAAAGAATTTGAGGTATCAACTTGAAACTTCATAGGTGGATAGACCTCATTGAGGAGGAGTGCAGTGCACAAGAATAATAACTCTACCCTGCATAATTTTTGAGTTATTGCCCTTTGTTATTTTTCAAAATTGATTTTTGTCCAGAGCATAACTCCAAAAGCCTATGAGATATAAACATGAAACTTCATAGGTAAATAGATCTCACTCAGGAGGTGTGCAGTGCACAAAAATGATAACTCTACCTTTCATAATTATTGAGTTATTGCCCTTTGTTATTTTTCTTACTTAATTTTTCACCTAAGTGAAGCATAACTCAAAAAGTGTTTGAGATATCAACATGAAATGTCATAGGTGGATAGATTTTATTGAGGAGGAATGCTGTGCACAAGAATGATAACTCTTCCCTATACAATTTTTGAGTTATTGCCCTTTGTTCTTTTTCATGCTATTTTGTCCAGAGCTTATCTCAAAAAGTATTTGAGGTATCAACTTGAAACTTCATAGGTGGATGGATCTCATTGAGGAGGAGTGCAGTGCACAAGAATAATAACTCTACCCTGCAAAATTTTTGAGTTATTGCCCTTTGTTATTTTTCAAAATTAATTTTTGTCCAGAGCATAACTCAAAAAGCCTTTGAGATATCAAAATGAAACTTCATAGGTGCATAGATCTCACTCAGGAGGTGTGCACTGCACAAGAATGATAACTCTACCTTTCATAATTTTTGAGTTATTGCCCTTTGTTATTTTTCATACCTAATTTTTCACCCGAGTGGAGCATAACTCAAAAGTGTTTGAGATGTCTACATGAAATGTCATAGGTGGATAGATTTTATTGAGGAGGAATGCTGTGCACAAGAATGATAACTCTTCCCTGTACAATTTTTGAGTTATTGCCCTTTGTTCTTTTTCATACTATTTTGTCCAGAGTTTATCTCAAAAAGTATTTGAGGTATCAACTTGAAACTTCATAGGTGGATGGATCTCATTGAGGAGGAGTGCAATGCACAAGAACGATAACTCTACCCTGCATAATTGTTTAGTTATTGCCCTGTTTTTATTTTTCAAAATTAATTTTTGTCCAGAGCATAACTCAAAAGGCCTTTGAGATATCATTATGAAACTTCATAGGTGCATAGATCGTATTCAGGAGGTGTGCAGTGCACAAGAATGATAACTCTACCTTTTATAATTTTTGAGTTATTGCCCTTTGTTATTTTTCATACTTAATTTTTCAATTCAATTTTTTTCTCAAAAAGTATTTGAGGTATCAACTTGAAACTTCGTGGATAAATTTTACTGAGGAGGGATGCAGCACACAATAATGATAACCTACCCTGCATTATTTTTCAGTTATTGCCCTTTGTTATTTTCAGCCATCAGTATTCACATAGGTTTCAAATCTGTAATCACTATAGCCATCAGTTTTCATTATCAAAAGACCTCTTAAAATGGAATTATTCTGCTCTACTACATATACATTCTTCCAATGAGCAAACACATTCGGCGGGGGATGGCCATGTTGACATGGCTCTTGTTACTAAGGAAATCTATTTCAATATCAAAGTTAATCGGTCCATTAATATTGAATAAATACGAATAAAATAAAATCGTAGTAAATAAGTACAAATGGCCTAATTAACGTTACAATAACAATAATATGAAGGAATGCTGTGTAAAATTAAATACTTCATAAACTATTTGAATTTGAAAATAATTACCTTGAAATATTTCAGATCAGTCAAACAATAGACTTCTGTTCATAAACAGCATTCGCCTACTGTAATCTGAAAGGCACCTAAAGACGATTATCAAATAAATGCTCCCTAATTTCGGACATGAAATTTATGCCAACGTTTTAAAGGTATTCCGCCATAACTTTGAACAAAACATTAAAAGACCTCAGCATTGCCTTAGCTTTAACCTTTGCGGCTATACTTTGTGGAATTACACTCAGAACTAAATTTCGTCATGTGTCTGCTGATTTTTAAAAAGAAATGTCTCTTGTTATGCAATATTTCTTTTTAAAATTTATTTCATAAAAAAGAACATTTAGATATCTTACTCAAAAATTGCCAAAAGTGGTTTGTCCACTCTCTGCATATCACGATTTCGATGAAATCATTAATCAAAAATAGATGATCTGAAATTTACAAATTCAACTTGCCGTACGAGGAAAGTGATGTGAGTAATACTTATCGATTTTAAGTTTATGTTCTCTGAATTAAGGAATATGAATCTCGTCTACGATTATTGATGCTTTTAAATGTAAGAATTTGTGTGAAAACATACAATTCATTTGATATGTAACACGAATTTTCTTTTGACAATAACATTTGTCGATGTATATGCAATTGAAGAACCTAACAAAACAAAAAGGGACTAGAATGGATGAACACTGAACAGAAATGTGTAGGTATATGAATGATATCTATAAAGCAGAGAATTGTCTGTTGATTTAGGATTTTATGCTGTGATAACATAATTTTATCATGCCATTTACGGTTCATACCTTTCGTTGACATGTCTTTTTGTGATTTTTGTTTTCTTATAGTCATGTTTCATTTCTTTCATATTGTGCAGTTTTATGTTTTGTAATTGACTAAAAAAAACAATATGTATGAGAGATTAGGGTTTTGTTAAAATATATGTAAATGTACTTTTAATTATCACTTACTGAGAAATTGAGAATGAAAAGGTTCTCATCTCAGATTTTTAAACCAATGTTTGAAATATTCACGAAGAATGCAAAGCAATATACATGTATACTGCACATTAAAGAAATACATACAAAATGATCACCTAGTAAATAGCCTTTAATAATTTTTTTTTATTATTATTATTGGATCTCACATTATCTAAATTTAGCTAGATATTCATGCAATTCCTTATCAATTTGGGACATCACGCCTCAGACGGTGTCTTATTTTCATTATCTTATTACAAATATTCTCGTGCAAGTCTTTCCCAAAAAGATTTTTTTTGTTTACTTACGTTTTTTTTGTAAATCAAATCTTTGTCTAATCTGTCTGTTTGAAAACTACAGAAGATGCAGTCAAAAATGAAAACTTGCTCTGATATCTGATATAAAGAATGAAAAATTGGACTATAGGGTTTGGTTCAAGCACTTGTGTAGAAAATTGAGTACTGTTCAAGCCGATGCTAGGTAGCGTGAGGGATGTTGCAGTTTTTTTTATTATCCCCGTATGTAAAGACCGAGTCTGCCATTGTTATGTGATTTTGTCATGATTAATGCTTTTGGGGGATCACCTCTTTCCACATTTTTATCTAAGCAGCTTGGAGCGATGGAATGGGATATATTACTCGATAATAACTCGATATTCAATGCATGTTCTAAACCACAAACAACAAAAACTTGCTGTTGTGAAAGACGTATAACTATTTTGACTGTTACAGTTAAGAAAACCAGACTTATTTATAATGTATGGATACACAAAGAATTCGGAATATCCAGTTATTTGTAAAAACTACTTTCAGAATATCTGGTAGTATTTCGATTTCATCTTTTTATATTATTAGTTATAGAAAGAGCATCGAATCACGAGGCTATCTGATTTGTAAGAGGGGGGCATAGCCCCAAGTATTAATCAGATTGCCACATGTTTTGCTGTTCTTTCCCTTTTGTATCATAGTCAAACATGAAAATACGTTCACTGTTGTAACAATATGAAACTCCAGAAAAAAGTTATTAATGAACGAGCATCTGAATATAATATTTCTATCGCTTTCCCTTTCTATGTCGTCACAATAAGTAAACCGCAAAAATAAGCTAATCAATGGGCATGCTTTGGAGTGCGGGTAACTAATACCTGCACTCCAGTTAACGCACTGCGCATGTATATGTATACGATTTCACTCTAACACATTTTCAACAGAAAGGTCTCCAAACTATGATACAACTTTAAAATGTAACGTCCTTTTCATTCAACACGATCAGGACCCAATGTTAAATTTGTCTCTGGTGTCCCATTTCATTTAAACCATTGTCATAATTATGCCTGAACTATCACTAAACACTTCAGTAGGCATAGTTTTATGATTATCATTTCGGAGTTCATGTTCATTCATATATGCAGAATCTATAACATTACAACGTGGAAGCATCTCTACAAAGGTCAGAAGTGTGTTTTGAAGAAGCCAATTACTGTCTGATTACTATGTTGATTTTTGAACGATGTATTTTCTATCAGCCTGTTGATGTGTTTGCCTCACATATATTTTCGCAAGCTGTTCTTTATAAAAAATATCTTTTTTTCTGATGTATAGACTGGTATGTTATACTGTTAGACCTATGTTTTGAGCAAAAAGATTAGACAAATTTCGTACCACTGCATAAAAATTAAACCATAAATGAAACTTACATATCGGTTATAAAACAATAGCATAGAAGGAATAAATTGAAAGAAAGCAAGACAAAATGTATAATGCTAACATTGAGCTTTATATCTGTAATATGTTGAGAAACTATTGCAAAATACAATAAAACAAGTTGTTATACTATATTATGGTAAATACAAGTATATTCAAATAACAGACTTATGACAAGTGTTTGATATCCTTATCACTTTTGTGAAACCACATTTGTCCTTATATTAAAATAATGCGCAAAAGTAAGTAATCGAGTTCAATCTTCGGTTTCGTGCATACTTGAGAATAAGAGAAAACTAACAACAATTACCATATGGTTTATTCACAATCTTTATATCTTTTCTACACTGATGACTGCATAACTTAACAGGGACATAAATGTTAAAATCGTGATGAATTAACTTTCATTACGTGACATTGATTTTTTCTTCTTTGTCAAAATCACAAGGAGTGTTAGAATATGAAATAAAAGTGTATTTAACGCTTTCGTTTTTATTTTTAGCATGTAAACAAGTGATCATGTTTTGAGCAAAGAGAGATCAAAATGATTATTTCCAAAAATGGGAAAATAAAACCACAAAAAACATAGAATCGAGTTCTCTTCTGAATTAATAAGAAATTAATACGAAAAATAAACTTTGAACAAATATTTCTATCTAGCTGCTATCTAAGAAAATAGTTTGTGTGAATAATAAGCAATGTGAATGATAATTACGCCACAAGTTCTTGTTTAAAACAATAACATTAATTGAGCATGACTAAGTCTTCAGTAGATGTATTAAAGCATTAAATACACAAATAAGTCCAGCCCAGGAATATACGACTTTTGCAGCGCATGTCTTCTAAAAATGATATTATTTGGTTATCATAAAATGTAGCATATGAAATGATATAACTATTTAAACACGTATGGTATTTCTATCAAATTTGTGTGGCTATTATCCTTATATTCAGAAATTAAATGAGCCGCGTCACGACAAAACCAACATAATGGGTTTGCGACCAGCATGGATCCAGACCAGTCTGCGCATCCGCGCAGTCTAATCAGGATCCATGCTGTTCGCTTACAAACCCTATTACAAGTAGAGAAACTGATAGCGAACAGCATGGATCCTGATCAGACTGCGCGGATGCGCAGGCTGGTCTGGATCCATGCTGGTCGCAAACGCACTATGTTGGTTTTATCGTGACGCAGCTCAAATGTTTATCAATTTACATGGAATGACATGTACATGTATTGTTTCTCTTTTTGTTCTAACCAAGCGGTCTATAATGGAGTAGCTTGGTTTTTCTTTAAGTCAATTTGGCCAAATACTTGTCGATCCAGTAGGTTGAGCATATAGTCTTCTACAGATTCTAAAATGCGACTCAAAGCCAACAATGCAAGTATGTTGACATTGTTATCAAGTTTTGTCTCCTCCTTGTAGTTCTTAACCGGAAATACTTTAGTTTGAGACAGGCCCAGAAGTTGTGAGGCTTTTTTAACATGCTCTTCTACAGCCCAGCTCTTGTAGGTAAATGAAAAATCCCTCTCCACGTCATTGCAGATTTTGTCTATTTTTGTCAGTACAATGAGTTGAGGAATTTCTAACGAGAAAAAAACATACACAATTACAAGCAAAGATGTATAGACTACTATTTACTATGAGGCCGCACGAATGGTTAACATTATGTAAAGATTTACAGTTTCATACAAGTAGCAAATACAATTTTCTTGTCACGGCAGTCGGATTTTTAAATCTAGAAATATGTGCCGACGTAAATTTTTGACGCAACTTAACTTAAGCAAGTCATCCGTTACACCATCAAAATAATTAATCAATATTTAACTGCCGCGTGTCTCGCTGCCTGTTTATAGTACGTCTTGTCAAAACAAACGATTTTTTGGGGGGGGGGGGTGGGGGTGGCGTGGGGGTTGATATTTTATAAGTACCAAATGGCGATACTGGGTGGTAGTTTATAAAAAGAAATACTTTTAGTTAAGGAAAACAGTTATACCTCTTTCGTTCATTAACCTTTGAAATTGTTTCATCTTTTCAATGACTTTCTCTGAAACAGTATCAAGTGTTGTAGCGTCAAGTACAAATATAACACAGTGGATCCTATTTTTAGTTGGTTCAACTTTAGATTTATCAGCTTTAGGCGTCAATTCCTTTTCCTGGTTAAACTGAAATCATAAATATTCTCTTTTTAACAATCGTTACAAAATATTGTAAAGGCACATTTAGCCTCCGAAATATAAATGTATTTCTTTCTGTAGAAAGGGAGGTAAACATGCGATTTATAGTTTTGTAATTATAGATTTAGAACATTTTAGATGCTTATCACATGAAGTAAATAGCGTCAAATATAAAATAATTGCTGATAAATGCAGCAAAATGTAAAAGCAGTATTCTGACTTAAATGCAAAGTACTTAAATCACAATTTGTGTACTAATCACAATAAATGTACTAATCACCAAATGATTTTGAAAAATGAAAATATTATCAATTTAAGGCTTGATTGACCTTTAAATAAAAGTATGCATATGCACTTTAATTGATACGAGCATATCTTCCTTTAATGTTACTAAAATATGTAGTCTTATTTCAAATGTTGATTTAAAATTATATGTTTTGTCACTATAAATGCAAGTGAGTTTATGTAGTTAATTTGTGTGTTTAACCTTTCTTCATAATCCTATAACTATGGAAGCCTTGGAGGGTCACTTTTGAGTTTCGACTTATAGATTTATTTTACTATTTTCTTATGACTTTTGATTTATGACTTTTGATTTATGACTTTTGATTTTTGACTTATGGATTTTGTTATTGTCCCACGTGCTTGCCTCATAATTTCCAAGGAAAATATGGCAGAATATGACAACGATTCAGACGAGGTAAGTTCATTTACCTAAGTTTCCTGGAGACATATTTAAAAAACAAAATATGTGGATTCATATGCAAGAACAGAATGTTATTCTTATATAAGCCTTTTTAATTGATAAGGAAAAGAAAATACTTTGCTTGCAGTGCATTGCATTGGGTATCCATTTTTTATTTTGATTTCCGGAACAGGCATATATTATCTCAAATTGACATACAGGGTATGAATCAAACGCTTTATTTTTTATATGGGTTCCAGTTTTAAATCCAAATAAGTCTCGCACTGTTGTTTGCTGCAGTTTCAATCGGTTTTCACCCGTAGTTCATTCTTCGTCCATCTTATATTAAATATAGACCAAATTATAGGCCTTATTTTGACCAAAAAAAAAATTATAGTTAAGAAGTTTCATGAAAAATGGTATTTCAAAAACAATAAATCATACAGCTTTGAAACTTCACACACTTGTTTAGAACACGCTCTAAGTAAGAAATCTCTGATTTTTTTTGTTATCAGATTATGCCTCTTTTTCGACTTTGAATTTATGGTTTAGAATTTTCATGAAAAATGGTTTCTCAAAAACTATTTTAGCGATTCCTTTGAAACTTAAAACACATATTAAGTGCTGACATCTAAGGTCAATGACCAAGTTTCGTATGAGTGGCTCACAATTTGACATACTTATGCCCATTTTTAAAGCTAAAATGTTTTGTCAGAAGGTTTATGAAATATGGTCACATAAACCAGTTATGATATAATATTGAAACTTTATACACTTGTTCAGTATCAATAACTTAGGACACCAGTCCTACCAAGTACAAAGTACATGTTATTTGTATATAAACTTTTGTATACAGTTATGTATTAAGGGATGTTTTGTATTTCATTTTGTATATATTTGTATTTCATTTCAATTGAGATAACACATACTTTTAATGTTTTCAATTTTAATTCTAGTAAAGCTACCTGTAGGAATTAAGGACGTGCTGTCGAATGGTTTCATCTACAAAGCAGTTGCAAGAGCATCAGCAATACATATTTGTCAAGTTTTCGGAGCCAGTTTAGAAGACTAAGAGGTTTCATCGCAAAACAGCGTTCCTTCCGAGTGGAAAGTAGTACAGTTTAGCAAATGCAAAATGTCCAAACACTGGTGATTTGGTTTTATTCGTTATTGTCTATGGAATTATTAAGTCATTTTCGGAAAACGAGTGTTACTTTTTCACACTTGTTTTTAGACGCTCGATAATTTTCAAGTTTTAACCCCACCACTAATTGTGGACGCTTTAGTGGAAACACGCAATGTCACGTCCCGCCACGTTTATTTTATCCTGTCCATATCACCAATATGGTATAAAACTTGTATTGATAGACAGGTCATGGTGAGACAGAGAAAAGTGTGAAAAATCATGAATTCATAATTCTGGCTTTCATAATTTTCAGTATTTGGCCATAAAATTTATAACTTATATGAAAGGTACCGAAATCAAACTTTGCATGTTCATATAGCTTGGCGAGGCAGAAAGAAACATCCTTCTTGCTATCATAGCTAACATACATTTTAGAAACTCCCCTTTGTTGTGTGTGTTTTTGTTGTTGTTTTTTCCATACTTAGATTTTGTTAAACTCATAATTATCTCAAAAACTGTTGAAGGCATCAACTTGAATTTACTGGCAGATATGTCTCGGCGAGACAGAGTGCATTGTGTTGTTAAAAAACTTTTGATTATAACATTTAATCGTTCTCCTAAGTTACACATTCCCTTTTTCGACATGCTGTGGGTTGGAGGTATGCTCATTACGAAATACTATGAGATTTCCATTACATATAAAGTCGGTCATTCTTCGGAAAAAAAAAACAACTTGTGGACGTTATTTAATATATACATTATACAATGTATACAGTTTCTTAAAGTTAACTAGGAAATTTTTAGCTAGAGAATGTTTGTTTTTTCTTTTTCTCTCTTTTGAACATTTAGAAATGAAGAAATAACGCTCTGACAATGATTTTGAAAATCATGACTTCAATAATAATACAGACACTCTAGCGTTGCTAGTTTACCTAATTTATCTTATCTTTTCAAAAGCTTCGTTAGAACACTCATGATTTCTTAGTTTTTCATCAGTAACGTATCAACAATGTGTTGTTTTGTAGAAATATTGCATGTATATATGTCTTCTGTGACGTTAATAAGTTTTTGTTGATGGCAGTGTTTATTTTTAGCTGTTCCTTAGTGTTTGCTTTTAAGTAAGGCATATGTGCTATTTTAAAACAAAATGCTTACCTCTGTATTTCTTATCTCTTTTTTAAATTAAATATAATGAAGCTCAAATGCAGTTTGTTTTTGCATATCTAATACATTTGTTTTCTTATAAGACAACAATTTTGTTAAACAAAATAAAGCATGTTTGTAGAATAAACAATGTTTGTTGTTATCTGTTTAAACGCATTTATTCCAAAAAAGTATTGATAGCTCTGCCAACCTGTCACGGTTTAGACCGTGAAGTAAAAACCTTTGGTAGTGTGGTCTCTCGGTAGAGGTATATTTAGGTAGTCTGTTGAGGGAGTTGGCTGGTTCCACACAGTTTACTTCTATAGTGATTGCTATTCTATTTCTACTTTGCTCATTTCAACCTCTTACTTATAATTTTAATGGAACACTATCTCTACATAGATAAAAAAAAATTCTCTGTAACATTTATATACTGTTTATACCGGTGGTAAATTACAAATTTATTTTGGTTATAACAAAGTTACAATAACACAATAATAAATTGTCAACAAATGAGGATTCTAATGCAAAAATGAGGCTGGTGGCTAAATGTACTTGTAAACATTATATGATTTCAACACCACTCTCGGCTGATGTGTTCCCTTGCGTTTGGTGATTGTATCACACATTTGCTTATTTGCATTAATCTAAAATCAAGTAAAACTAATGTTTATACTAAGGCAAAGAGTAACAGAAAATAGCAAAAGTTATAAGTCAAAAGTCAAAAGATAAAAGTCATAAGTAAAAAGTGATAAATTATAAGTGAAAAGTCACAAGGCAAAACATAAAAAACGAGAAAATAAGTCAGCATTTATAACAAAGATCAATTATTATTTTTGAATAACAATCATATATATTCCTTTTAAATACCATAATACATCCTATAAAGTATGGTTGCTATTTGTTGCGAATGAATAAGACGTTTGAATCTAATTACACATACTTGAAATTACAAGTATAACTTATATGTCACGGAACGAATATATTCAGTAGATGATGTGCGATCTCGGTCGGGACAGAACTAGCCCTGTAAGGGGGTCCGGGTTCGAATCCCGATATGGCTGCATATCTTTCTCCCCCTGTGACATTTGGCATAGTGGAAAGTGTCCCTGCCAGTCACACGGGAGATCGATGTTCTATTCCTAGTCGGGCAGCCTTTTTGTAACCAGGGCTTGATAGAAGAGATACAACCAGAAGTCGATTCATATAGTGTAGTTAATCGCGTAATACGTATACCAAAAACAAAAAGAAATACAGCATGTATTTTACGTAAAAAGTCACAAAATTGCACATACCTATATTGTGATGTAAAAACTTTACAAATTAATATTTACAGGCTGCTGAGTTGGAAAGGACCATTAACTTGTACAATAAATGTGTTTAGATTTGATTTTTTAAATAACTTTAGGAAGATTCCCACTACACGTATGCTTTTCGTGAAAAATTACATGCAAAGACTGTTTAAGAAATGACCCGTTAAGGTATGACCATTGTAATGCACTACCTCCATTTCAAGAGTATTTACATTAGTTGTATGAAATCAGATGGTTGTGGGTTCGAATCCCATAGGAGCCAACTTTTTTTTCTTCATTTTTTTTCTTCAGTATTTTTGTATTTTTCTAGCTATATTTAGATGGGAAAATATGCTCGTTTTCTATTTTTATCATTTTTTACAGATATTCATTGCCTAATTAATGCTAAATCTAAGAGCAAATTCGACATATAACATGTCCAATGCTTTATATATTACAGACTAGCCGGTAAAAGCCTTACATATTTCACAGAATGAATCAGTATACTTTCTAGAAAGATTTTAGCAAACTTTGATACTTGTAAGCCCTTTGACTAAATGTAATTTTAGTGATTTTTTAAATTTAGAATGATATGATAGAAAATGTTCAAATGGGTGGGGTAAAGAAACATTTCCATGCATATTTCTATCGTGTCGAGAATAGTCATGCATTTAACATGCATAGTTCATTACTAGAATGTTATTATTTGCATCTAAACAAGCATCACTTGCAAAACATGATATTACGTTATATATATGATATATAGATATAATATATAATATAGATATATTATCAAAACATGATAATGATTAGATGACAACGGATATTTTTTTTCAATACATGTATTTCTTTTAAAAAGCCTTTTTAATGTATATGTTCTGACTCATACTCCAAATCCGTACGGTAAATTTTGCTTAAATTTTGCATACAGGTGTCCTTTAGGTATACCACTCAACAATGTTGTCAATTTTACAATGCCTTATAATGCAAATTAGAGTGGTTAAAAACTATAACTTAAAAGATAACTCACAAATAAATTGTAAACATTTTGCTAAATATTTACAAACCAATATCTTAAAACAACCATATAATGAAGTGAAATCGTTAACTATCGTCTTTATGATTTTAAAAAATCATTTTTTGAAACTTAACCTATAGTAACCTAGTATATATCAATAACACGAAAACAATCAGTATTAGTCGTTTTAAAGCGTATTTATATTAAATCTATTCTCAAAATTAAATCTTTCAACTCGGTACACAGTTGTAGTGCTAAATCAGGGTCCAATGGCATCAATAGATCTGGCTTCAGAAGGGGTGCTAATTCTACGAATTCCCCACATTGTCTTTTTGGGCGTGAATACATGTTCTTTGCAAATATATACGTCTCTCAAGTTAGCTGCATTGCCGAAGTCGTGAGTTTCATACAGACCTGGTAAAAAGCGTTGTGTCAGGTTTACCACAAATAACAGAATAACTGGTTTGTTGCCTTATTTCATGTGCAATCCGGCCTAACTCGGTTTGTATGAGGTCCATGAAGCAAAATTTTAAGTTCTTACATTGTATCGGGTCCAGATCATTAAATACACATGTATCGCGTAAGTCTTTGAAAAAAATGTATCCGCCAATTGATTCCATTTTGTCGTAATGTACACCACCATTTCTCAATGCGTTGGTTAGATGTGCTTTAGTATTGCTGCAATAGTAAAGCAATGCAGTTTCCCGTACCAACATCACAACGTAGTATTGGGTGGGGGACTTGATAATGTTTAGTAAAGGTGTCTAAAAGTATCTTGCAATAAGGTGTGGGTTGTTATTTGAGTCCGAAACCTCTAACCATATTATTTTTCTACTATACCCATTCACAGCACCATGGATACAAAATCCTTATTGTTTAAGTTTAAACATCCATATGTCATATAAAACTGGTCCTTTGGCGTAGTGTAGTATACGCGTCGGCATAAGCGATGAGCTTTCCGCATCTCAATACCATCTGTTATTATTTCCATGACGTCGTCCCCCTTGACGTACATGTGGTAATCCAGCATAAACCTACGCCATATTGTACGGTATACTATGCATTGCCCACTTGTTTGTATTTCTCTGTTTATAACATCAGACACAGTCTCAAAAGGAGTATATATATTCCATTACGCCGTTTTAAATTTAAGCGTTTAAAAAGTCTATTCACTGTACTAAATGACGTCGTAATGCCATGCCGTACCAGAAAGTACTCTATTATCAGCAGAGTTTTGTTTGTTATAGATGTTGAGGGTAGGTATCTTGGCATGGTAGCTTTGGTAATGCCGAACAGTATAATGATGAAGACACAGATCAACATCAAGGTTTTCGTCCTCGTTACCTTTTGTCCAGTAGTTGTGTCTGAAATAAGAGTTTATCTTTTATCTAAATCTTTATACATTCATAGTATATAAAATGGGTAAATCTCTTAGCTCCGTCTTTTAAAGATTGATAGGTGCGAGAAATATAACATTTAAAATGCTAGTAGGATATTTTGTTCTAACTGGTCCTATATCTATTTTTGCTCTTAAGTGTTCTTTTCTCAATTGTTAAAATATACAACAAAATTAGACATTAATGCTAAATGCAAATGGTGCTCAGTTAACTTTGTACTTGTGTGTATGAACATAGCACTGCCGTTCTTTATGAAATTGGTCAGCACTATCTAAGTACTTTACAGAAATACTGAGTCTGTGTTAGCACAATAAAATGCTGAATTGCGATACATGTTTAATACTGTGCACCATGCCATTTTAAGACGTAAAACTTGTATTCCCTGTTTACTTGTAAAAATTTGTTTGTTACTCATGGACAGATTTTGTGATGAGGACAAAAAATGTATAAGCACTAATATAATGAACATATTTAGAACACAGCAGATTGCACAAAACACACAGTCACACTTGTGGAATTAAAGTCTGTGATATATTACCACTATGGGATTATATCAAATAATATTAAATTCCCTCCTTAACACATCCTCTCCTCCATGACAAATCTCAATGAAATTATTTAAAACTTTTAAAAAACATACCTGAAACCAAAGTTGCTGCTTTCAACTTCTAAAGCACGTGTAAAATGGGTTAGCCAAAAGTCATAAGACGTAAGTCACAAATCAAAAGTCAAAAGTAAAACATCCGTAAGTCGAAACTCAAAAGTGACCCTCCAAGGCTTCCATATATAACTATCCGGATAGGTTTAATAGTGCTTATTTGAATGAAATACTTATGATAATGAAAGAATTATGCTAGCTTTCCTTGTTAAAAAAGCTTAACTTGACGTCATATCGATGACAGATTTTTAGATAGGCCTTACTTACAATTAGAGGTGACACGTTGACATTATCAACAACTTTCAATTTAAGATTTAAGACACAATATCTATAAAACTTGAGTTATTGCAAAACACCTTCTTAAGAAAGTATAAAGTGAGCATTTAAGTAATTCTTACCAGATGAAAATCTTGAATATGTCCATCAAGAATGTGACAACAGTCGTTTACATCAGGACCGACCGATTCCTCTAGGCCAGGCATGTCGCACAGGATGAAATTTGGAGAGCCACCCGAGTTAGGTCTAATGGTGTAAGGTACGTACTGTACACAATAAATTATATACAAATGTTCAAATAGGAAGCAGATTAATCATTAAAATCTTAAATGTGCGGAACTTACAATATAGATTTGCGATGAGAACGCATGCGTACGGTTAAGGCATCAGAATTACAGCCCCCGTTTAACCCTGCGTGACCGTGAGAGGTGACTAAATGAGTTCGAACACCCGAAGTTAGCCATCTTAGTTTTTGTCGGCGCAATAAGACCTCAACTGTTTTGGTGCGCCGAATAAAAAAAAAAAAAAAAACAAAAAAAAAAACAAAACAATTATGGTGTATCTGATCTTGTAGATTTCGATATAACTTAATAAAAATATCCCACAATATAACTTGGCCTTTGATGTTTTTACTCTTTTAGCCTGTGCTATCTTAATATTATTTTTTTTAAAATATTTCCCCTTATATAACACGCCACAGAAATATGATTATGCATTGTCAAAAGAATGTACAAATGTATTTAAATTGATATAGAATTTTAAGTTATAAACATCAATTCAAAATAGATTTAAGCCATCATACTAAAGTATAAATAATGAGGGATATATATTTCAGCACTATGTGTATACAGGCAGTGTGAGACAAAATGAATAAATGATTTTATTGTACTTTTGTCATTTTTCTGTTTGGCAAAATATTTTACTGAAAATTACTAGAAAGAAGAGCCCACCTATCTTGATATTTTCACGTCAACGTGTGCAATAACAGCGACGGATATAGCAAACCTTGTTTGAAGCGAAGTTCTGATGGTGCCCAAGGTTTGCGTTAAGTAGTGAGTTTTCGTGATTTTCATTACAAAACAAAACCACCTGCCAATTACACAATGTCACCCTATATTTACAATAAATAATTATATTTCAAATGTTATTTAATGTTCAAATTTGCAAAGACACATTACCCCAGCAGTTACACTATGTTCAGCGCTACTACTACACGCCCTCCATGTTATGCGTTCATGGAATATGGAATCAATTGTGTTGAAAAAGCTGGATTTCCCAGCACCCACTGGACCTATCATTGCAACACGAACTTTGCTAATTGAAAGGTCAGGAATCGGCGTAAATGCAAGTATCGCCCCCTTAAGCCTTTCAAACTCCTGAAATAAGGTTATAATGAAAGTATCAGTCTATCGACTGTCTAATACACGGTGGCACAAAGGTGACATGTGTGTGTTTAACTCGTGGCCACGAGATACTATGTCGTGGCCAGGAGTTACTAAGTCGTGGCAACGACATAGTATCTCTTGGCCACGACTTAGCTATCTCGTGGCCACGACTTAGTAACTCGTGACCACGACATAGTATCTCGTGGCCACGACTTAGCTATCTCATGGCCACGACTTAGTAACTCGTGGCCACGACATAGTATCTCGTGGCCACGACTTAGCTATCTCGTGGCCACGACTTAGTAACTCGTGGCCAAGACATAGTATCTCGTGGCCACGAGATAAATAAAACACACACATGTCACCTTTGTGCCACCGTACTAATAACAAAAATATAGTAAACAAATAGTATAGAGAAAATGGATTTCTTAAAGAACGCTCTAAAGGCATTTGGGCAAGCTAATAAATAACAATAGTACAGTAAATTATACAGGAACTGTCAGGACATTTATTGAAATAACGTCTTGCATGTACGAAATCTTCGTAATTGTAAATAATAACGTTCTTGCAGAATTCAAGTCTTTCTATAAACAATGATTCGATATCTATCCAGATATTAAGATATAATATCTTACAAATGCAATCTTAGCTAGAAAAACAAATGTTTATTAGGAGAGTTCAAATAACAAATAAATAGCTTACATGACCTTAATTGTCATAATATAGAAATAATTTTGGAAACATTGGAAACGTTTGAATATATGAAGGATTTCATTAATAGCATTCCAATAGTATAGAAAAATATAGGGATATATAGCTGATTGACAGTCTAAAACATAAGTTGCATGCATTCATATGTAGTTTTTGTCATCAGCTTTTTTTTATAATCACACACCAAACGTATATCAGATCTATTTATTACATGCTTTTCGGTAGTTTATAGAAATATATCAGTGATATAAAACTGGTAATTTCACTGTTTGAAACAGTGAAATTACCACTTTGATAATTTCACTGTTTTGAATTTAAGCCCCTTACGTTGTTTCAGTGAAATACCAGCGTGCACAGTACTGGGTACCAACTTAATGACGTGACGTCGTAAATGACGTCACGTTGTATTATTATTTGGCGCGCTTTTCATTCAGTATTAGTTCTAATGTCTTTTTAAAACGTCTTTTGCATATAATAAAAAGAAAATTTGTTTAGTTTAGTGTAAGATCGAAATATATTTCACCTTGTGAACACCAAAAGTTCATATTTCACTCGTGGCTGCGCCACTCGTGAAATATACCTTTTGGTGCTCACTCGGTGAAATATATTCCGATCTTACACTGAACTAAACAAATATCCTCTATATCCTGTCAAAAGAGGTAAAATTATTATTTTTTCATTATATACAAAGAAACGTGCAAATATTGACAGTATGATAAACAAAAAAGAAAAGAAATCAACCTGTTTCACAATTAAGAAGCATTCATGTTTTAATGTATTTATTTGTCATCTAAATATAAGTACCTTTGTATCCCAGTTGTCGTGACTACGCCATGGCTTCCTTACTTTGTTTTATACCGGAAATATACAAATTTGTTTACATTTATTTGCATGTACATAGAATTGTATACATTTTTTAAAAGAACGCCAATGTGGTTGAAAAGTCCAAAAACATAAAATTTGAATTTCTTCCACATATCACCTGGGGCACTTAAATGGACAAATATGCAAACGATAATAAAGAAACAGACTTAAGATAAAATCGTAAATCGATTTCTTTCGTTGGTGATTTTTTGTCAGATTAAGTTAAAAGCATTTGATTGTTTTTATGCCATTTGCAAATTGATTACTCTGGATTGAGCAAACGGTCTTAAATTTTTCAAACAAGTAATTGATATAGGCCGTCATCAAATGCTTCACAAATCTCGGAAAAATATTTTTAGTCCCGCCATGCCAAAAAACCCAGTGAAGTCTCTTTAAAAAGCCTTCTAATCAATTACAAATATTCTGGAAAAAACGGAAAATATATCGCGACAAACCTTATAAAAATTAAAAACAGACAATGTTGGATTTTAAACTTCCCCATAACAATATCTTAGATGTGGAAGACATAATGTCTGCCTGTAGCTATGAGTAATTTATCAAAATGAAAATATTTTTTTTGCATCACGAAATTCTGACGCAGTAAACAGATTGGCATAGTTCAGTGCCTTTTTGTCATTGTTCTGCAATAAGATTCATGTTTTCTAGAACTTGCCCAATCATTGTGAGTGTAAAGAGAGAGAGAGAGCACTACTTATTATTCACGAGAGTTTAGGAGTCTGCCCTACAATACTTCACATGTAGATATGTGGAACACATAGACTGGACAGATTACTTTTGTTGCAGACCATAATTGTATTTTATTTAAGCTCACCACGTCAAATAAGCATATTTATAGATGTTGTAATTTCTTCTTACTTTTATTTTAACAAAGTCATGTGTGTGTAACGATAAATGTCAAAGCATATTTTCTTTATAACAGAGAAAATCATCTTTTTGTTTGCCTTCTATGGGTACATATGTATCCGGGAAAGTTAATGCGATTAGCGGTGTTAGATTCCCTGTTTTGCTTTGAAATACAATTAGATTGCACTGGTTAAAATAAAAAAGATCAATATAGAGCATTAACAATAACTGTCGCGTATTGTATTTGCTGTTTTATATTGTTGCAATAATAATAATAATAATAATAATAACAACGTACATGTTACTTTATATACTTCCAATTCAATAACATTGAGGTTTCCATTGTTGATGTCATCAGCATGAACACCCTGCATATCGTAGCTATGTCCAAACTTTGCAGATCCATTCAAAGGGAAGAATTTTCCGAAGCTATTCGTATTTACTGTTCCGTTGAATGTATGAAGATCATACCTACCACCGAATGTTGGACCGTAAGATAAATTGCTGTTTGTTGCATACCAAGTTTTATCTTGTTTCACAGGAAATTTCATTGCTTTCTCTTTCCCGCTAAAGTATAACTGGAAGAGAAATGCCTCATTACTTGAAATATATTCACCACTACTAGAGTTCCAGTTTGACGGGTTGTATCCACCATACACAGAGCCCTTGTTATTATAAAGAACTGTCACAGTGGGTCCCTGCTTGTCACATTTCTCGTGAAAAGTTGTTGCGTAACATCCGTCTCTTGATATAGCGTACAATAGTTCAAATGACTTTGGGCCTGTGCCTATAATTTCTCTAGCTCATTTCTGTCTTTATTGGTCAACCTTTCACCCATTGTTTTAAAACTGAAATTCGAAGGTGATGATAAAGTTTCCGATTAAAGTTTAAATTTTACAAAAATTAAAGTTTACATTTTACAAAAAGACTGATACATGTATTGATCAATAGGAAAATTTACAATACCATATGTGCTTTCTTAAAGAAAACTCGGACAAAATATTAGCTCTCTCACTTGTTTAAAAGTGTCGATAGCAATAAATTCTTTGTACATATACGTCTTATTGTCACGTTCTCTTCGGGTGTTCCTGAACATGTACATGTATCTGTATTTTTTGACATTTTCTTTTCCTCTCTTTTCCTCTCTTTTCCTCTCTTACCTTCAATAACCATGATGAAACAATGTAAGAGTTGGTTTATTGTTCGATATTGTTGTTGTTATGATGAAATTTTAGTTAAGTCATTAATCTGACAAATTAAATATTTGGTAAAAATTATTCAATTTGTATTTTCATTTAGCCAACAGAATAAGTCGTTCAAAAATATTTGTGTTGTAAAGCAGGGTTTTAAATACTTGTATTTTCGATCTTTACAAATTAATTGAATTTATATAAAAAATCATAAAATATATATAAGTTGAAAATGTGAAGGCATTTATTTTATTTTTTACCCACATTTGGGAGAAACTCTGAAAGTGGTAGCTTTGTTTAAGATTACATGTTCTTTTATCCGTTGTCCATATGTAAAAAGATTAGCATTGACAAAATATCGTCGCTTGAAAACTGTAATGTTCTATCTCCAAATTTTCCAAAAACAATTTAAATACACAATTTTGTCCATAATGGACTGTTCTATCTCCCTGGCATGTTGTATTAGTGCTTCAGAGGTTCATAAATGAATTACAACCAAACCATCCTGTTCTATCTCCACAAATTCAATGTTTTGATAAATAGACTGTTCTAACTTATTGGACTTAAGGTATTAGCACCCTAATGCATTACCTCCGCTTTGAAGAGTATTCAAATAGGCTAGAATTACTGTTAACTACATTGAAAATGAAGGCCATGGGTTCAATCCCCAGAAGGGTCAACTTTTTTTTTCTTCCTTTTTTTTAACATTATTTATGTACCTCTCATGTCCCATATGGAAAGAAAAAAGTGTTTAATTTTGAATTTTTAATTTATATAGGTATTTATTGGCTAAATGATGCTAAATCTAGTAATAAATATGGTACCTGATATTTTCAAAGTGTTATATAATCAAAACAGGACGGTAAAAGTATTTCATATTTTACAAGATCAACCAATATGCTTTTTTAAAAGTTTAGGGAAACTTTAAAAACAGGCACTCATTTGGGTAAATTTTAAGAATTTTTTGAATTAGGCTCCCTAAGTAGAAAAATGGTCAGACATGTGGTAAAAATGGGTGGGGTAGGGTAACATTTTTATACAGATTTCATAAATTTTAAGTAGAAACCATAATTTTGCTTATGTGGATTTGTTAGCTGAATGGTACTATTTGTTTCTTACCAAAAATTCATGGGAAAACATTTTTCATTAGAATGTTATTGCAGATCATTTAAAGGTTCCTCATTTCTAAAAAAGGGCCCTCATAACATCCTAGCTTGAGTTAAGAAAAGTGGTCATAACTTGATTTCTGTACGGTAAACTTTGTTTAAATTTTGCATACAGGTGTACTTTAAGGTATACATCTGACCTATGATGTCAATTCTTTAGTTCCTGATTGTGCCCATTAGGGTCCTAATACCTTAAAATATCATCGATAAATGTCACGCGACCTGTGGGTGCATATGCAACAAACTGTTCTAAATCCAAAGTACCGTATCAAACCATTGCATTAAATCACGTGATGGCAGGACACCCGCCATGTTGTACGAAACATTATACAACGTTTGCTGTTTATTTCATATATTAATACTAAATGTAAGTATTGAATGATGTTATGTTTTCATAAATTTACCCCAATCATGACATTTTATTCTTAAATCCCATGAATTAACTGCATGTGATTAAACAGCAAATTAAACTATGATGATATGCAAGTAATTTCGGATGTGTATTTTTGGATAGAAACACTTATGATCATACAATTTCAACAAACAAGTTCGTAAATAGGAAATGTGTGTATGTTCTAAAGTTTCTTTAATTATAGGCGCATAATGTCTCAGAAACCTATTTTTTTTAAAATTTAAAACAGGCAAATATGAGATTTAGAAATAGTAAGTAATGATAAATAGCATGCTAGATGCTTTTCGCCTGAATTATAGTTATGAATGTTAAATTCTTAAATAAAAATAGCAAAATGACAACATAGTAGTATTTTGACTTCCATTCAAAATACTAAATGACCGTAACTGTACTAATTTCTATAAGAAACAAAAGCATAAGATGGTTTAGGATACTGGCCAATGTGGACCTTTTTGGTAACTTTAACAGAACTCCAAATGTTAAGCTTTTGAGAGATAAAGATAAAAGCATTTCTAGGGCACAACGGGCCTGTTAGAAAGTTTATAGATATTATGCGTTTATATAAAATTTATGTTTTAGAATGCATTAATGTTTTATAACTAATAGATTACTTTAAAGTAAAGACATTTATACCAAAATCAGAAGGAAGAAAAATATTCTTATACTTATTCTTAAATTCTTTGAATTTCTGAATGTATATTTATATGACATTATGTTTTTCATGTTTTCTGTAATGTTTTGTACACGGACACTTTTCAAATATGACACTTTTCAAATATATGTCATGCCTTCAACTACCTGTAAGGTCTTTTCTAGCAGATATATTTTCATTGCATACTTAAGTTATAGTCACATTTTCTCATACCTACAATTAGAAGAACTTCTTACGAACACAAACAGAACGTGTAAAGCGCATAACAACATAATTACTACTATTTTATACCTTTGGAAAGGAATTTGAATTAGACCATCTTTTGAATTCTCATGAAAAAAAAAATCTTGAAAGAATTTTCCAGCATTCTAGAGGATTTGAAAGCTTTCTATTCCCGTTTGTGGCTACAACTTTCTTTTTCTAGACATTCAATCACTTTGAAGGTATTAAATTGTAATGACTTAAGTTATAACAATAAATAAAAATGTTTAATTAAAATAAATGAAAATTTATGTGGGTATTTTATCTTTATTTACATAGACTTTCAAATTTGGTGGAGGGGATCATGATGTGGGGCGCCATGTCGTATCGCGGGACTGCGTTCCTCACGAGAGTTACTGGTAACTTAAATGCCGTTGGATACATTGATATTCTTGGCAATAGTGCTGTGCTATCGGCCCACTACTTGGACTATTAAGGTAATTTCTGGCTCCAGGACGATTGCGCACCTTGTCATAGGGCAAGGATTGTCAGAAAATGGAAGAATACCAATGACATTCGAAGTTTAGTGTGGCCTCCTCAGTCTCCAGACTTGAATCGATTGAAAATCTGTAGTGGGACATCAAGAAAGCTCTTAAAACAAGACGAAGTGCGAATCTTAACGAACTGGAGGTGTTGTGAGGCAGTGTTTGGAGGAAATTACAGTGGAACGTTGTGAGAGACTAGTGAATACCATGCCTAGGCGTGTTCAGGCTGTCTTAGCTGCTAATAGTGGCTACACTAAGTATTGACAGAAGTTGATTTCCATTATATGAAATCTAGCAATCTGGTGTTATGTTCTGTTTTTGTTGAGTTGTGTATTTTTGTTATTTCAGGTCCGCATATCTTTAACGATATTGAGTTTTTCTCCCGACATCGCGTTTAGTAGTTTTTAAATTTTCAAAATCCGACAATAAGTAAAAAAGTTATGCAATACTAAATCTTTACATGCTTTTTTCTCAAAAACGACAAAATGTCACTTAGAACACAACGTTTTTCAAGCGACGATATTTTTCTGTATTTTAGTTTTGGTTTTGAAAGACTACTTCGAATCCTTTTTCTGTGACTATACCAGAAAGCAACGAACATGACAACCTCATGCGCTGTCATTCTTTACAAAGATTTTTACCAACAGTTTTATATAGCTAGTATTTATTTAAATGAGTTTTGCAAATATGAGTGTGAGTGATGAGTTTGAGTTTAAAAACAATTTTTTTTCCGTATTCTTCTGACATAAAACTAAAATTACTTTAACGTGCATGAAACACGTGACCTGGATTTATCTTCCTGTAAAGTGCACGGTAAAGGGGTACAAAGACTTGCAAAGAACTGCTAAATGCAAGTACTCTGCTAGAGTTAAATAGTTCATGTTTTCTATATCTAACACATCGAGATATGTTATTGATTTGTTGATGACGTTAATTGCATCAAAGGAGGTTTTGGACCGAGAACGATGAGAAACAATTAGCAAGCATTTGGTCGAGCGGCTGCGCCACCCTTGATCAATTTAACTTTGTAAATGCTTACTTATTATACTCCCGATTCTAAAAGACATTTCTTTTAACTTTAAGTTACATATCCTAGATAATTTGATTGTGGTTTCTGACATTAATTAATGATCAAATAAAAATTGTTGAAACATATTCAACAGTTATGAAATTAAAACTAAGATTATAGTGACTGTCTTAATTCAATATATGGGAGCTGCAACTTTCGTTTTTGATAAATGCACTAACCTTGCCATGGAAACATGTAAACAAACAAATTAACTGTGATATCAGTGAACGAAAACAAAATATAATGTAAAAAAATGGCAATATATAAATTTAGAATATCAAAACACAAATGAAACTAAAATTTATCTTTAAGACTTTTTACCGTTTTCCTTGTTTTTTTCATGTCATGTGACAATTTAGGATAGATAGTGTGTTAGTTAAACAGTATTGAACTTTTAACAAGAATTTACCGCCAACAAGTTACTGATATAGAATATATTTCATTTAAGAGTTTTACCTGTATAGCGTTTGAAATATTCCAATTTTTGTTACATCGACTGCTTACTTGTTTATCCTATTTTCGTTTTAAATAAGATATTGATTTAGCAAAATGTTTGCACTTGATCA